GTTTTACCTCAGTAATGATTTTCTATATAAGTTTTAATGATGAATGATTTTAGATGGAAATAGTTCAGGGTTTTTAATTTTTTATTAATTAGCTAAATAAAGAAAAATTTGAATATCAGTATATTTTGTCATGCTGATGTGATATTTCAGTAGTTTTATCACTATACATTAGTTGTATATTCTAACAATCAATATCCCTATAAAGCTGTTACTATTATTACTACTGTTCACTTGTAGAAAGTTTTATCCAAGACCAAGATAAAGACAGTTCACAAAAATAGTCTGAGAATATGACAATTTCTGCATCTCTTGTAGGCCAAGTTGCAAGAGATTATTGAGCAAGAAGAACGAGCTGGACGCACTGTGAATAGTGAGGAAGCTAAAATGTCCCCTCTTCACCAGCGCATGGATATTGATGACTCTGACGCATGATATCAGCAACAACTAACACCCGCATCTCAAGGCAACAAGTAAGTCCTTTTATGAGTAGTTCATTTGAATATCGATACTGAAATACTAAAGACACTGTTTGTATTTTCATTTGTAATTGATGGCTTTTAGAAATTTGTTGAATCTAATGTTGCAACTCAGATGTTATGCATGACAAGTTATTGTTTGGATGGACTCTTGTGTTTCATGATTTTAGTTTGTTAAATGTTGATTGTTTTTCAATTGGGAGCTTGAAGCATTATCCATGTATTTTTTTTTTTATGAGTTTTCTATATACATATATAGAAGAAGAAGAGCATACTGTACAGTTATACAGAATTTTTGGGGGGCCAGGAGTATTAGACTCATGACTTATGGTTCAGCAGTTTTTGGTAAAAGAAAAAAAGACATAATAAGTAACTGACATTATTCATGCTAGTATTTAATTGTTATCAAATGTAGTTTATCAGCTTTTAGTTTATCATGAATATTGGTAAAGGTGATCAGATGTAAGTTGTCTATTCACTTACTTAAGTTTTCAGTGATCTGTTTAAAGGACAAGAAAGTAAATCTGGTAAGCTGCAAAGCTATTTATAAGTGGGTATTTCATTTACAGGTTTTCTGTGAGCCAGTTATATTGCTTGATTTTTTTTAGGATTATTAGTTTCCTTCAGTAGTTTTTTAAAATAGAAATTTACATGCTTTTTGGGGCTACAAAGTATTGATGTTTGTGACTTGAAATTCAAAGTCTATATTAATTTTCTCTACCAGATTGCTAATTGGTTCATTATATGATAGAAATAAATTATCTAGGGATAATTTTTTTCTTGAATATGTATACATATGCCCTTTTATTGTACAATTATTTTACTATCAAGCTTTTATATCTAAACACTCATGATGATTAGTTAAGATTTTTATATTAATGATTAATGAGAACCTTTATTATCATCTTTTAACAGATAGAAAATTTAATAGGAATTGTGAATTTAGTTAGTTAATAACAGTTCAGGTAAATGTTTGTTATAAAATGGGATAACTTCACTAAGAGAATTTGTATATGAATTTTTTTTTGAACTTTGAATTTAGATAAAGGAATGGCATGAGGTAATAGATTAGAATATATTTTTTAAAAGATTATTTTACTTGTTCTAATGTAGTCTCAGAAAAAGGAAAATAATATTTCCCTTGGACAGTTTCATGATCTTATTTTAGTGAGAATTATTGAAGAAAAACTTTAATTTGCCAGAATATTAAATGGCATAGCCATACCTTCAAAGGGTAAGTTGATTGTTGGCTCATATATTCTGCTTAAAGATTATCCCGCAAAAGAAAACATTTACAGTAAGCTATATGTATTACAATAGTCATGAATACCCATTATGTAAAGAAACATTCTGTAGAAACACCCAGTTTACCTACATGAAAATAATCAGTATTCCTGCTTATTATTATAATAGTCATCAATATCATTTTGCTTTCCTTTGAGTTTGGCTTCTGAGCAGTTCTTATCCAGTTTGATCATTATCTCACATGCAGAAAGAGATATCATATTTCCAATCAAAACGATCAACTTCAAGTTTGCAGAGCTAGCTGATTTGGTATTGATACCAAAAAAAATTTATGACATTAAATTGCCATTTCAACTTCAAGAATTGCAGTTAAAGGGAATAATTTTAGTTTTTTATTAAAACAAGATGGGATTATCATAAGAACACATTTATTTGATTTTAGTAAGGAGTATTCTCAGCAATGTACAAACATTGGGCACAGTACACCTTTAGAAATAGATAGATGGTAAGAGTCACCATTAAGTTCAAAGCAAAAGCAACCTAGCAATTGGTTTGTTATTTTAGTAGACTGGCAATTACCTTTATATTGTGTTGCATATACATATTCATCCTTTTTGTGCTTTTTACATATTCTTGAATTTCCTATTTCATATACATGGTAGAAAATACATCAAAATTAGTATTTATTTTTATGCAAATTCAGAGCAGATTTTTTTGGTAAGCTTTGTTTTGTTGCTTTGGATTTCTAGCTTGGCTAGCAAATTTTATATTTCATGAAAAGACTTTTATATTGTTATTTTTGCTATTAACTGATATTAAGCAGATTAACACTGCCCATGCAGGATACATGTTACATATATATAAGAAGCATGTTGCATGTTGCTGGATATTTGCATGTTGTTGCAGGAGAGAGCGGAACTTTTACTCACTCGGTACAGCCAGCGCTGGGCCAAGGACTACCTTCGCAAGAGATTGGACTGGGCCTTTGATGCGTCAGCAAGGTTGGAGGGTCTTTCTCCTCCAGTTTTGCCCCGTCACCTGGCTGCTGCCCGTTGCCTCTGCCAGTACATTGAGGAGCATCTGTCAGTCAAACTTCCACGCCAACAGCGGGCTTCCCGTGAACACTGTGCTTGCATAACACAGTTCTGCCGAGATGCCGAGCTATAAATGAATACATTGGGCTCAATTTCAAAGGAATTCATTTTTAATTTTGATTAAGTATTATTTGGTTTCTTTGTACTGTAAAGAATATAAAAGAAAAGTAGTAAAGAGAAATATTAAAAAATTTAGAAAAAGAAAGCCCAATTTTCCAGGTGTCTTGTTAAAAAATATATATATATCCTGCTCAGGATATCAATACTGCATGAATTTGTATTACAATATTAATTTGATTCAATTCTTCATCTATTGCACTTCCAAATACATTTAACAGATAAAAATACTATATTGATATATTATGTAAGGCATAGTTCATACTAAGAATGTTTCATATATCTATATTTTTTAAAGTATGTATCAAAAGTCTCATGTTAGAAACTTAAGATAGGGGCATTGAACCAAACTACATTTGGTATGGTAGATTTATGTAAATATATTTTTTTTCAATCTCTGCAGGTAGATTTGATTTTCTTAGTTGAAACATTACATTCCACTCAGAACATTCCTTCAAGAACATAAGTTTAACTGTATTTTGGGCATACACATACCACAGATGCACACTCACACTTGTTAACCTTTCATGATGCAGGATGTTCATATTTATTACTTTTGCATGCATAAATTGATAAATGTGTTTGCTATTCAAGCTAAGGAATCTATGCATGCTGAAACAAATATGTTCAGTCTTGAGCATGAATGGAGTCTGAAACTTTCTTTCTGTGATTATTTCTACCTATTTGTTCTGTGATCAGGAACTTTATTCATTCCAGTGTAATAAAGATCTGTTATAGATGTTCTTGATAGTTTTTAAATTTTGCCAATAATTATTTTTTTAATTAGCAGCTAGTAATTTCTATTAGTGTTATTTCTTCTATTCACTCAATTATTAAGACATCTTGTACTATATATTGATCATGAAGAGAATCATTTTGCAACACATCATCAATCAGAGTGATATATGGGATATCTTTAAGGTGTTGGTAATTTTTGGATTGAATTTCACTTTAATCAGGGTTGCTGATACAGACATCTTAGTGGAACCTTAGGGATATTAGTTTTATATTGATATGCTCTTTCATCAGCTTTTTATCTATCTATCTTATCTTTACTAATATTTCTTAACACTGGTCTGGCATGGCAGTAGCGTGGTTTGGCTGAAGGTGCAACTCCAATATGTAAATGGTATTGCAACATATATTGTCTTTTAAGTACATTTCAAACGGCAGGTTTTTCCTGTTATTTTTGCAGGGAACAGTTTTGGAAATGTACTTATTAGATTTCAAGTATATGATATTGTAAAGGTTTTAATGCCTGGAAAATTTGTGGTAGATAGGGCCATCTTAAATGCACTCCAAATATATGAATAACTAGATAAGTCATAATGATAATAACTTTGAAAGCCCGTATTAAAGACAAAAAATGAACCTTGGCCCAGAGCTGACCACACGGTGAAATTTGGTAAAAGGAAAAGGTTTGTATTAACATGTTGCTTTCTCGCATATGATTGTTTATGTGCTAATAAAAGTGATGCGTTAGGAAATGCTATTGTATTCCTTACCTGTTTTGTAGAGTATTTTTTGTGCAAAGGTTAAATTTTTCATGGTAATTTATTGTGTAGTGAATGTCTGATAGAAACCTAGACTTTATTATGAACTGATTTAATGTTTTTTTAGGGGATGTCATGTTATATTTCACAATTGTATTTATTCTTGTGTCTGTCATTGGTTTACTACATTCTTTTTATTGTTATATCAGGACAGAGCACGTATTCTACTAGCGCGATATAGTCAACGTTGGGTGAAGGGAGTAGCTCGGGGGTCTCTGTCAATATCAAGTGATGCAAGTGACTCCACCAGTCCTCCTTCATTACCCCCTCGCCACAGTTCCTCAAAACATGCCCCTACAACACAAGCAAGATACTTTGCACCTTCTGTATACTTCCAGATGTAAACTGAAATGCTGGGTTATGGTGATACTCAAATGGGATTTCTTGGAGACTACACTGCAACAAGTGAACCTCAGTAATGAACCTTCCTTCTTAAAAGTATATGTTTTGGAAACATTAACTGGTAAATTCCACATGTTTATGGAATTTCATTGTTATTACTGAGGATTCTTCATTTGTAGACTGCTTAACCCTGGCTATCAAGGCTGTGTCTTTTTCCTTTTTCTAGTCCAAAATTCTACCTATACTTTTTCTGTAATGGGCTTTGTATAAAAATAAGAGGTTTTCAATATTAAGTTTTTAAGGTATATATTTAGGTCTTACTGTCTAAATTCTTTACTTTAATACTACTCTGACAAATTACTTAAATTTTCTAATATGCAGTCAAACTTATGGAGCATATGATTGGTTGAGCACTGATGCACTGTTATGATTTGTGCATACCATTTTCTTAAAAAGTCATATTGACATGGTTACTATAAAGAAATGAAATACAAAGCAATCAGACAAGAGAAAGGCTGCAAAACTTCATGTAATTGCCAAGTTGTGTTAGATATTCGAAGACCAATCTCCTGCTTGGTGAAATGCTTCCACTGTAATGATGTTCAGTAATCAGCCAAACTATAGAAAGCAGGTTCCTATTCCACAGTACCATGATAAACAGAACTTACTGATAAGTATTCACTGCAGTGTTTCATTATATGAAAGTAAATACCAACATGCTTATCCTTAAGCTCGTGAACACTTAACATATTTCTGTTTAGGTGGTTGAGAATTGGAAGTACATAATTCGGATAGTTTTGGAAAGTGTATGCATTGTTATTAGTTGGCAAGTATTATCTGCAGGAAAGCTTTATTGGAAAAGAAAAAAAGAGAAACTGTACTTAGCCTGTCACAGTTCACAGTTGTTTTTTCTTTTTTTATTTTATTTTATTTTATTTTATTTTAGTATCTTGAATTGTTTTGTAAATGTATCATAGATATTACCTTTCCATTATGTTTTCTCTTCCCACATTTTGTTTTCAATTCCCTGTTTTTATTTTTTCAAGACAGGATTATTTAAGGCCTTTATAATTAGTCTCCTTATTCAGCTTTCTATCTTAGTCTTCATTTTCTCTTTATTTTCTTTATTCCTCCTCTTATTCCAAGATCCTTATTTTCCTTTTTATTTTTTCCATATCATAAGCCTTTTCCATGATTATCATTTCATCTGCCTCTTCCCCCTCTTGTTTTTCTTTTCTCATTTTCCTGTTCTGATATCTTCTCCCATTTATATTGTTCCCTTTCAATTTCCCTCATTCCTGTATTTCATCCATCATTTTATATATTCTGAACTTTATGAAAACTCAAAAAGACAGCTTTTTAGCTCATTACTTGTTGCTTCCCAGATTGCTCAGGTCATATTTATTTTTGTCAGTACTTCACATCCTCTATCTTAGGCTTGAAATTAAAAAGTGTAACCAGAAGGGAATGTACAGTATTACCATGACTACTGTCAAATTCATATGATGAACATAGAAAGGCCTTGCAGCTAAAAAACAAAACAAAACAAAACAAATGAATGAGTCCATTAGTTAATTCATATGCTTCAGAATTATTTTTGATATTCTGTGTGAGTAGAAAAAATATAAGCTTCAGTGTTTACTATGTATTTTATTAGCCGAGATTTTTAAAGTTACCTCAAAGAAACATAGATAAATGAAAATAACCATGAACAGTACACAAGTACCTTTCAAAATCTAATTCATCAACCCATTGAAAACATGTAGAGTGTCTTTTACATGAATTTGTTTGTGTGTTATGTGGAGACTTATTGTATGTGATAATGATATTTTACCATTCCTTTTAATGTAAAACATCTATATTCCATTGTGATTAAAATGGCAGCCATTGTCTTCATTTTGTGATATGTATATTCTTATTTTCCTTGAAATGAATTTTTTCTAAGCTGATATCAAGTCTTCCTTTTTTTATCAGTTTACCCTTCTCTTTTGAATCTGTTTACCATCATTGGTGCATAGATTATTTCATTATTTGCGAAAGGGAAAATATAGCACTCGTTTTTATTCTGTATGGCCTGCTTGATGAAATATACTTGTATTCTGGTTACATTTCCAGGTATAAATTCAGGGGAATATGATTTTAAGGCTAGAAAAGGTACTATCATATGAAAAATTAATAAAAGCATGGAGTTTAAAAACAAAAGTCACTCTGTGTGTGCGTGTTTCTGTCCATAAAAACAAAAGTCACTCTGTGTGTGCATGTCTCTGTCTGTGTCAACATGTGTGCCTATGTCTGTGATTTGTGGAGAAGAGAGAAAGCAAGAGAGAGAAAGAATATGAATGGTTTCATGAATATTTTTCATGCAAAAAGAAAAAAGGAAATAATTAAGAGATGCCAAGATCGTGAATGGTGTAAATTTTACTGTATGCTAATATGTTTTTATGACATCATTAGAGAGTGCAATGTTTGAACTCAATTGCTTTTCATGCAATCTTGAATACAGTTTAAAGATAGGATATAGCACAGGCTAGTGACAGTTGCTTTTCACAGTATCCAATAATGTTATGGGTTATGTACATATACTGTATAGCACTTTCTGTCCCAGCAGAGTTATTAATTAATGGCATTATTACAGCTTGTTGTTGAATGTGGGCAACGGTGAGAGAAAGGTACTAATTTTAACTCAGCCTGCACTTTTTTAAATGTTGCCACTAGATTACTGCACTTAGGTATATGTCATAGTAAAGTTTGATCATTTTTAAGTTTGCCATTTTTGGTTATATTTTTTATTCTTTATTTTCATATTTCTTATATTTTATATTTATTTTTAAAGATTTCTTGAATAATGACAGAAATGAATAATAATCTGAAGTAAGAAGCTAACAGCAGCCTTTTTTTTTTTTTTTTTTTTTTTTTTTTTTTTTTTTTTTAATTCTGTTGAGGAGTACTGACTTGTAACAAGAGCATCCTTTTTTGATGATACATTCAGTCCACAAGTATATTTTTGTCTTGATATAGAAATCATAGTGCATTTATATGGTACAATTATATCATTTTATAAATTTCAAGTTACATCAACTGATCCAAAGCAGCTTGTAAGTTAATACTTGTATTTTTTTCTGTTTTTCTTTCTTTCTTCCTTTTTTCTTTCACTTATTTCTTTAGTAAAATAATATATTTTTATTAGTCATGTTATACAGTGTAGTTTCTGGATCACAACTAGGGTGTGAATGAGGAGGCGCCCAAAGCAGTATGTGTAGTATTTAATTGTTTGAAATTTTCTAGCCAGTTGAAAATTTTTATAGTTTGCATGTTCATCAGTATGATGCCTTTCTATGCAGGTACTTATGCTTAGCCTCTTTCCTTTGTCTGCAATGTGGGTACATCTCATATAGAATTGAGCATTGTGCATCTTGCAATTAATAGCTTACCATTTACAAGCCCTCTCTCATTCTCCAGCAGTATTATAGTATATTAATTTTTATATTCTTACTTATTTTCTACCTTATCTTTATTTTTGTAGTGTGAGGTACAGTTTATTTTAGGTTTTGTTTAGGTATTTGAAGAGTATACTTTTTCATATACAGGGCTAAGAATGTTTGAATTAGACAGAGATCAGTAATCAGTCCAGTATAAAGCTACAGTATTGTACTTGTTTAGCATGATCTCATAAGCATGGAAGCATTACTTGCCATATTTTGACCTGTTGTTTTAGGTTGCTTTGCTCTGTGTGATATGTGGCAGCAGGGGAGCAGTAGCGCTCTCCAGACTGGACCTCAAACGGGAACTAACCTTGCCTGAAGAGGCCAGAAGTTTTGTCAGCAGTTGTGAATATCTTCTACTTTCAG